TATTTACTTGTAAAATCTTATTGTATATGCTTACTATACCAATATATATTACAAGATTCTCTAAAAACTCTTAAATAAACAAGCAACATATATTTATACTAAAATTAAAACACGTAATAAAATACAATATTTATAATTGTAATATTCTTTGTATCTGCATCGATGGTCGTGCCTAATGCAATTTATAAATATTTGCATAAATATTACTAATGGAACCTAATAATCAATATCTGTGCGATAAATGAAATATGATTTACATGTGATCGTTGACATTTGCATTTTAGTCATTCTGATTTGGAGGCCGACGACGAAGAGTTCGATTCTCTCAATCAGTCCGACAGCATTAATCAATCGGATCATGGCAATCATGAACCACAAACGTCTGTCAATACGACTGTAAGACCACGATTACCAACGCCAACAGGCGACAACCCGCACGAAGTGAGTCATTAATAACCTAATATGCGTAATCGTGTCATGGTGGAAGTAATATACTTCCACCATGAATCGCGTACATAAACTAAGCTAACTTTTTACAAAAGAAACACATTTCGAAATTTTATTACTCTGGATCTATTTTCTATTATATTAATTATAATCGTATAGCTTGGCAATACAATAATCAAATACGATGCGATTTATAGCTAATTGAACGAGCGCAAGAGGAAAATAGAAGGCTGCTATCTCTTCTGGAAGATCGGGACCATAAAATAATGGCGCTTGAGGCTCGTCTTTTAAAGCAACAGCATGAGATGACCCTGGAACGAGATCGACTTCGCGAGGAGAATGCTACGCTGATTCGCGCAATGGCAGCATTAGCCAGCAACTAATCCTCTTCGTGTAATAAACATCACGCCTTTTTGGCTCTTTGCTCTTTATGATAATCGCCGAGCTGCAGGATGAGCCATAAGTCGCGCATCTTGCTGATCCCTTGATTATTATTCTTAGTACTTCTCTTTCATTTGCAAAAACGATTTTCTTGTCCTACGGAAATTTAATTTTTGCATCATATCCTAATTTTGTAATTGTTAGGAGATTTGCAGCAGCCATCGGCTGAATGACTGAAAATCCGGTATTATGTTAACTATTTTAATCATTGTTGATATTGTGATATACATGTATATTTATGTATTATAAAATGCAAAGTAATTGAAGAATGATTTAATGGTTTCTCTATCGAGTGTTAAACTAATAGAATCTATTCGTTACATTTGGATTTTTGGAAAATTATTAAATTTATTAAAGTAAAAATTGTATGCACTAAACATTTTAATCGTTTTTGTGATATATTGTATGCTTTCTTTTATTTGATATGATATAAAATAATTTAAGAATGAGTTTATTCTTCCTCTATTGAATTTTTTTAAAGCTTTTTTCATGTACGAATGAGGTTTATATTTTCAATTTTTATAAAAAGTAAAGTCTAAAAGAGAAAGAAAATAGTACAGAAAAATTTTTCTCTCATGCTTCTTTTTCCTCTTATTGGTGGCTATGAACCTGTAAGATAATTGAGAGTCATACATTATGTTGAGTCCTATTTTTTTGTAATGAAAGGCTGAGAATTTAAAATATGTAAATGCGAATTAGCTTGTAATGAAAGTTAAAAAAAACTTAAATTGATAGTGATAAAGTTTAGATATTTAATTTAATAAAACTAAAAGAATATGTTTGTGCATTGCATTCGTGGTAATTGATTTTTTTCTCTGATGCATGATTTATGGATCATCCTAGGCAATAAGGAAAATATACCTAAGTAGAGTAAACCTAACTTTAGTGCGTATCACAAATTGAGTCATTATAAATAAACAGATAATTCTCTAATCACAGTGTTAGCTGCGGAAAGTATAAATATATATCTTTGCAAGCTGCAATGCAAGTTACATTTTGTAAAAAACAATAGCAATCCTCGACCTTGTAAAGATATTGTGACGATTAAATCACTTGCAGAGCTTCATCGCAGACACAGATCGCACGTTTATTATTGATATATTTGCTATCTTTATTGCCGATTAATTGCCATTTTTTGTTTCGATATATTTTCAATCAAGCTAAAGCTAGATAAACGCAAGAGATATACATTGAAAGTGCCGATTATGACATAAACAACTTAATCCGTTTTCTATTGTAATAATTAAGAATGGACGTTCTATGTAAATTTTATACTTGCAACACATAATAATGTAAGATTATGAATTATTTTATTATTTTATTACTATTAATATTATTATTATACCACGAGCCGCGTACAAAGTTCTATGTACATATAGACACGCAGATAATTCTATAGCGATGCATTTGATTAGGATGAACTTGTGTGTAATACGCGGGACAATGTAACGAGAATATGTAAAATTGTTTAAAAAAAAAACTTTTATTGCCAGCCATTCAATGATTTATCGTACTTCAGTCCTCGTTCCTTCCAACGTATTAAAGATAAGTAAAGGCTCATTTAAAACAGAGGAAAGTTTCTTGCATTTGTTTTTCTGTACACTCATTGATGTAATCATTCTGCATGAATAATTTCTTTTCAACTAATTTCCATTTAAAGTTGTGTGGTTTAAAGTGAGATAAGATAGAGACTCGCCCGATCAGTGGCGTACGCGGAAATGTGGCATTGAAACAGTCCCCAATGTGAACCGGCAAAAAGAGTTTGCATTTTTTATTCATAAAATAACTAAATAAATTTTTAATATAATACAATACTTGCACGCACATACGCAATATAGTTACATCTTTACGCTAATGTTTCCTAATCACTACGTAGCTGTACATTACAAATCGTTGGGATCCGATCATACATATTTGGGGTCTCCCATCTTCAAAACCGTCCCCATTTCCTTATATGTTCGCCCGTTGCTCTTATCCTTTCGAAATGTACGCTTTAAATCCTTCTATTTATCCCGTTATCGCAACTTATTCCACTAAAAGACCCCGGAAACAGTTAGACCCGTAAAGCTTTACGACGTGTAATTTTTCAAAACGATGTATAAAACTTTGTTAAAATACTTTATGTCGCATTTAAAGAGAAATATCGATTGGTTCACAAGAAGATACTTTCATAAGGCGCAAACATCTCGAAAGGGCAAGCGGCCCTTCGCACGCATTCTTTATTAACAATAAAAAGATACGACGACGTGCAATAAATATTGCCAGTTTGATTGTATTTATACGACAAACGTATCTATTTAATTGTGAAAGAATATTTTTCAGGGCTGATACCTACATTTCTAAAATAATTTCTTTAAACCTTTTAAGAAGACTATAATTTTTTGATTAGCAGTTAATGCAAAAATGTCGATTGGATTTCAAAGACTAAATAAAATTCAAGTAAAATTTATGAATAAATTAGATATGCAATAAAAAATAAATGTAAATAAAACCGGAAATTAAATCAGACTGAAAAAAACTTTTAAAAAATGAGCTTTGTCGACGAATAGAAAGGTCGACAAAATAAGCGAAAGTATTAACAAGTGCATTTTTTATTGAAAATCTGATTTATTCTCCAGTTCTGTCCATTCGCTACAAAGAGTCTCAAGGGAGAAACACATCGCGTGTTGAAGACTCAAACGGTGATTAATTAACCGTTTTAATTACGCTGCCGTTTGATTAATGAAAAACGCCGTGATTTATCGCAAATCGTCGTATTGATTATTGCCAGTGTTTCGATAAAACACATGCACACTTTGTGTTGCAACAGGTACTACGCTTCTATTATATCAACCATCTCTTCTCCGCATCGCTGGCAAGGTAACTAATTGTTTATATCGTTTAATTGTCTACACCGTGCGCCTCTACGACTATTTTTTTTTTCAGTTCTCTGTCGTTCATCGCAAGGCAACGCTTCGCTGATATGTACCGTTTTGTTTCAAGATTGAATTAATTAACCGAATTCGTCGTTTCGTAGACAAAATCCTAAGGAACTTGGTTCTCTCTTTCCACCGTCATTCGCAACTCTCCTCCCGCGATTCACGATATTAGCTTCATCACGAAGTTATTGTCGGCTGTAATTAAGTCATTAACAAGAAGCGCCATCCACGACCACGTGATATTTCGTTGATCGAACCGCGAGATCGTTGTTTGCATGGCAGTAATTCTCGTCTACCATGGCAAACTGAGCTGTAAAAATTGACGCACCTTCACTTTGGAGCATTCGCTTGCATCGTGTTTGGTCGTATATTTAAGAGCAATTTGTCTGGACAAATGTGCATGGAGCGCTCATGTACAAAACAACAGAAACTAATCCTTCAATTCCTATCTTTGCAAAAAGAATTCCTTGTATCTTACCGTCTAATAATTACATACGTTTTGCGCAATTACTCTTCCGGTTATCGTAAACTACAAGAGCATCTTGACGCTTCACGTGCTCGTCTCATTCGCATCATCGTACGTATCATTATCCCAACAAACGACTAGATCACGATGGTTGGACCTCAACCAGATCCTTAAATGCTAAGGGAGCTTAACGAACTAAGCTATTTTCAGTGAACGATATATTATTTATTATTTCTTCTTTATCAAATATCAACCGCGCCGCAAATCGAAAATGCAGACGTGGACAGGCGAACTCCCTCGCTCTCGATTTATAGTTTCGATCGATACGTTTTATTATACCTATTGTTCTTCTCTCCTACATCTTAGCGCTTTCTCTCTCTCTCTCTCTCTCTCTCTCTCTCTCCTTCTCTCTTTTAGCATCGTTTTTTAATTTATCGACATGTATAATCGTTAACGTTATCGTTTCGATTTTACTTAATGAACAGTTCCTTTCTTCCATAGAAGACTCATCATTATAAATTAACATTCCATTTTACGTGATGCTGATGTACAGGGTGCCTCGAGAGAAGAAATACACTACAGCTCGAAAGTATTTGCCTACCACATTTACAACCTTTTATATTCTAAATATAGAAACAATCTTATTTTATTTTTAAATAAAAAGACGATCATACTTTATTTTAGAATAAAATAGATAATAAAGCATCGATTGCATTATTATTAGATAAAAAGATTTTTAAGGTAAAAATCATCATCTTTAATCTTGGGGAAAATATCCATACAGTATAGAAAAATTAATGAAATATTTCTTGGATAGATTACAATGTTGCTGTTTTGTTGGGATTTTTTAATTCCATCTCTACAATATTTCTATAATATTGCATAGTGATACTATAATTAACAAGTTTAGTAAATGGACAAATACTTATGAGCAATATTGTATTAGTAGTAGAATTGCGTGTACTCGGAAAAAAATTCTACTTTCTTCGCCATAATCGCATACGTTTTGTATTTTATTAAATAACATATTCCAGTCTAAATAAAAATTTTTGAAAATAATACAAAATAATCCTTTATTTGTCCACACAAAATAAAATGCCAGCTGAAAACACAGCTATAATATTATAAAAATATATTTCTCTTGGAATATTGTTTTTGCATCGGAATAGGTCTCTAAACCAAATTCCTTCGAACGTGTATCTATCACGTTTAACGTTTATCGATTCCACGTTCATCAATCCGGTGAAAATTAATTGAATTGTTACCGTTCTCATTAACGTCACTTAACAGAAACTACATTATATCGGAAGTAGAATTACCTGAGACTCTATCACTGCAAAAGCATTATTGTTAGTCAAGAGACTAGAATCTTGCGATATTATCCTCGTGACACCCCGTACATGTCGACGATTTTATCTTCTCCATACGGAAAATAATTCTTCTACTAAAAATTCATGCCTGATTTGCAGGAGTCAATTGAAAGGCAAGCGCGCGTTTTACTAGTTGATCATTGAAAAAGTATTATGCCTAGGAAGTAGGAAGATTAAAGAACATTGGTTTTATCAATTTTGATTCATTTGCTTTTTGTGCGTGCTACGCTGGCTTAATCTGTCTCTTCACATTAATATACAAAAGTTACATCTTCGAAGTTTAAAAATTTCGTAAGAGAGTAGTACTATTATTCATGAATAATTATGTACGTTTAATATTTTTCTAATAGAAACTCAGAAATTTCTAATGATCAACATTAGAAACAAATTTTCAACGTTTTGTCCTGAGTTTCTTTCAATGTTATATAAGCTGCCTATAATTAATCATTGGAACAGTCACTTCCGTCGATTTCGTATCTTGCTTCCTTGCATTTTCTTGCATAAACATTGCTAGACGATAGTCAATCGTTTAATGAGAAGCTCGTAGGCGAACATTCTGTACGTTTTACTTGCCTCCCTATTGACTCGACCAGGCGTATTATGGAACACCGTGTGTCGTAAGTACAAGTTATGTTCACTGTTCGCGCGAACGTCGTTCGAAAATAAATAATCGCGACGCGCTGTTGCTCGTTATCGAAGCTGGAAGCGAGCGTGGTTAAATTCTTTTTATGTGAAATACGCTCCCTGCCATATATTTTGTCTCTCCGCAGTAGAGAATCTAACCCGTAACTATCTTTTTTTCTTAGATGTACTATGTATGAAGAAGGCACATCGCATTCATAACGTTTACAAACTGATTTATTCTTGCATATGGAGCATACGGACTAATTTGCATTGGCACTAATAGGAAATAATAATTTAATTATCCACAGAGAGAAATCAAAATTTTCATAAAAATACGATGTATTTTCTTCACACATTTATATCCCTTCGAGTCCCTTAATAAGTCACGATTTGTCAGTTCGGCAGTTTGACTTCACCATTTTTAATTGAATGGTCGTCCCGAAGACACGGAATTCGGGAAAAAATGTACTAATTCTAAAAAAAAAAAAAAAACTTAAGAGCCAATAATTTCTAGGCTAAAGAGCCTGAGTTGAAAAAACGTGACAACTCAAATATTGTGCGAAGATTGGGAAAACTGACAATTCCGCGTTTCGGGATATCAAGAAAAGATGCCGAGGGCATCACATTGTTCATATTTGCAGAATCTTCCTATAGTTGAATCCAGTATCTTCAGGCGATCGGCGATCCCGCGAACTGCATTCGTTCATCGTCCAGGTTTGTCGCGAAGAAACGCAGGAAGGATATCGACATTCGCTCTCTCGGGATATGTTTGCGTCTTCGCGACGCACCGACGCCGTCGCCGACGATCCGGTACTCTTAAGAGAGACCAGAAGAAGAAGATACGAGAGAAGAGCGTGGTCTCAGACACTGCAGCCAGAGGTGACCACCTCCTCGCTGTTAGGCTGATGACTCCACCTACACTGGTGACAACTACTCGTCGTCGTCGTCGCCGTTGTCGACGTCGTTGTCGTCGTTGACGTTGCCGTCGTCGTCGTGGGCTCCTCTGGCGCAGAGTTGGCGACGTCACCGGACGCCCGCAGACCCTGCTCGAGCTCCAACAGCTGACCCATGAAGTTCAGGTTCGGACTGATGATCGGACGCGCGTTCTTCACCAGTTTGTACGCCTCCACCATCGACAGGCCTTTGTGTCGCATTATGTAAGCAATCGCAATTGTTGCGCTGCGCGACACACCAGCTTGACAGTGCACCAATACGCTGCTTCCGGCTTTCCGCGCTTCCTCTGGAATAAAAGACAAATTGCGAGATGATAAATGCGTATTTTCTTCCTTTTTTTTTATAACAATACTGATAAAAAAATTATTCGAGGATCGAAGAAAAACCTATCATTTTTCAATTACAATAAGAAAAAGTAACTGCTCCGATTTTTATTTATAATTTAATAATAATCTTAAATTCTCTCTCTCTCTCTCTCTCTCTCTCTCTAAAAAAAAAGAATCAACAGAAAGAATACATGAAAAAACAATAGTACATTTGGAAATTATTGGGTTTAATTTCTTTTCAATTAAAAATAAAAAATGTTAGTAATATTTTTAAACGCTTTATTGCATTTCGTAATTATTCAAGAAACTACATATATTGCGATTAAAGACATATATTCGATGTTAATCTGCAAGATATAGATTAACATCGAATATATGTTGTCACTTTATTGCAGTGTTGAAAGTTTGCGTTTAATTTGGGACTTACAAAGATTTCAAGATTTACACGGAATTGTTTTGTGCAACGCGTGCTTTTGAAAAATATGAACAAGTCGAGCTCATAAACGTTGAAGCGAAACAGTCGTGAAACCCGAACGACCGACTCAGGTTATGCAATATATGGGGGACGCTATCGTATCGCAAGCGTGAGTCACTACACTGCCCGGATCCTATGCAGACTTTGCAAACGTTATGTCGCACCGCGAGAGAATTCGACTGCGTACGCCAAGTTGATCGCATCTTTCGAAAGATAACTTTGACCCTGCATTTCGAAATTTTACTAGACCCCAATGACAATCCGAATGCTTTTAACGTTTAGGATGGGGAAGCCATTGTAGTGGTATTGAAACAGTATCATATTTTGAGACGAGGAATACAATAAAAAAAAATAAATTATAATAAATCTTACACAAGAAAAGCCATTTAAAAAATAGACTCCCTTTAAAGATTAGAGGGACATGTTGCAAAGACACATGTTGCAAAGAAAACTGCATGGTCTGGCCAAAGAAAAAAAGAAGAATGATAGTGGGCTTGTTCTTTTTAGTTGAACTTCTTGCACAGTACATCTTTTCTCTTTTTCTCTCCAACGTGGAGAGAAAAGGAAGAAAGATGAATCGTGCAAGAATTTTAGCTAAAAAGAACAGACCTAGTTACGCAAACTTGAATATTTTATTAGACTTAATGTAAATAATAATAATCCGAACATTTTTAAGTCTATCATAATAAAAAAGGAAATAAGATATTTTTAATTTCTTTACGTTTCAACTGTTTGCTAAACACAAACTAACATTACATCAATATTGTAATTTTCTACTCATCAATATAAATAATAATAATGTACATGCATATAATACATGTGCCTTCATAAGAATTACAATGTTGAATAAGAGAAATTATAATATCGATGTAATATTTGTTTATTAGAGTTCAGCGGAGAAGATAAATAGTAAAAAAAATTGTAAGTCCGGACAAAAGAAAAGAAAAAAAGAGGACTACTCGAATTTGCGATTAAGTGAATCATGATGCGTGAAGGAATGAGTTTCTCAAAAGTAAACTTCAGAATCGAGTGCCAACGGCGACGGGGTGCAGAGTCAGTTTATTCAACCGGCATTCCACCAGTTGCACGTTCAGGGGGAGGCCAGTTTTCCCTCCATCTCTCTCCGTCCTGCTTCCATCCCTCTCTCTCTCGTCCCTTTTCGAGCCCTTACAATCGCCACGCACGACTGCCGCTCTGCTTCCTTTCCATGCGTAATTCCTTTCTCTCTCCTCTCCTCTCCTCTCCTCTCCTCTCGTCTCCTCGGAGATGCGTGATGCACGCGTAGAACATCGCGTAAACGCGCGAGAGAAGGAATCAACATCAAGGATGAAGGAGGAAAGAGAACGCAGGGTCAAAGGGTGAAGGGGGAGGTCTCTTACGTTTCACGGATGCGCGCGCGCGCGCATGACTCATGCCTTCATGAATGGAAGGTTCTTCTGGTCTCCTGCCGTTCGGGCGCTCTGGTTCAATGGTCCACCGGAAACGCCTGGTTACACCCTGTTTCCGTCCATGGGCCTACTACTACTTGCCGCGAAATAACGGAATGAACGCAACGGAGCGACCGGAAGAAGGACGGCAGGAAGTGTGCCGTCTGTGTAATCGTGGAAATTGCGACGATCATCACGTGGATTCGCGATATCGTGAATCAAGGAATGGCGCGTCGACTTCGAATTATTTGATGCTTTTAAATTGTGTTCCAGAAAAAGGAAATGTTCCTAAGCAATTAGTACAATCGTTTTCTCGACAACATTCTTCGATCAAATTACAAACAACTGTTATTTTTAAGAAACTAAACAGATGACATCAATGTAAAATACTATCGCGATGTTCTCTGCAATTGAAAGTATAATTGTTCTAAATATAAACGTAATGAGTAGGTAGCTTTCTTTCTCTTCTTTAAATAAATGAAGGAAAACGTTGATAGAATTTTAAAGAGAGATGTCATCAAGATGTCTTTCTGACATCATATTATAAAAATATCCTCAAGATGTTTGTAAGACATCTCACGTTCCCTTTTTGGACATGCTTGTTATTTGGGTTCTTTTTACGTCTCTGGTTTAAAAAAAAAATGACAGTCTTTCGTTTAAATTTAAACTCTTATAGAAACCTCTTCTCTGCTCCCTCTAATAGTAGAAGAAAAAAAAGAGAAAAATTTAAAATAATCGAAAGAAATTTCACCCTCACCGATGAATTCGAACGCTTCCTCGAAGTACTGCTTGAGGTTCTGATGGCCGGAGTCCGAGGCGGGTATCTGCCTGTACGTGATACCCCGCTCCTCGTGGTAGCCGGGCAACTGTGAGGTGACGTTCAACACCCGGGTGGCGCCGAGGGCGCGCAATAGCTGCAGATCGGCGG